ATTTCTTCTACCCCCAAAAGGACACCAAGTACATACACTCACCAATGTTAAAAAGGAACCTTATGTACACTCACCAATAACAGTAGTATAAACCCTGTTTCATATAGGGTTCTAGGGTTATCTTGGAGGGTTAGAGGGTTCGAGGGTCTATGGTTGGGGTTTACAGGGTTGCAGGGGGCATGGCTTATGGCAAAAAAAATCGTACGCATTTGGGACGTTTTCAGCCCGGACCAAGCCAACTTCTCCACAACAATGTGGCTCTCTGTTGAGTTGCTTCTTATCCTGGTTGACCCGCATTTTCTTCCTAAACGAACCCAAAGCACCATGAAGCTCTTTGCGAACCTACCCTTGGAACAACATTGCGCTCTTTGTTTTTGCGAAACCTGGTTGGCATACATTTTCCTCGACAAACGTCAAGTCACAAAAGTGGCGAGACAAAGCTTTGCCACGCAAACGCAGAGTGACACATCTAGGGGGCAAGTGACCTACTTGACAAGTGTCCTTTCCAAGGACGACGTGGTACCTTGGCGTGGGTAGGTAGACCTTCATTCTTGCTGTCAGGACTTGCTTGGACTTGAGATGCTGACCCTGAACCATACACACTACAGCTCTAAACCCTCAGACCCTACCAAACCCCACAACCCCCAAACCCTCTAAACCATCAAACCCTAAACCATCACCCCCAAACCCTAAACAACCCTAAACCCTAAACCCTCAATCCTACGAGGCCTGAAGGGCTGGCTGGTGAAAGCGAAGCTCGCACTTTTACCTGCGTGCCGATAGGGCTTATGTAGGGGTTTGGGGTTTAGGGCTTGGGGGTTGTAGGGGCTTCAGGGGGTTTAGGGGTGGGGTTTAGGGGTTTAGATTTAGGTTTTGGGGTTTAGGGATTAGGGCTTCGTGCTTAGGGTGTAAGGTTGGCCCTGAAGGCCTATGCCCAAGCCTCATTATAGACTCCAACGGCACCCGGGACGCGAGTTAAGGGTGTAGGCGCTTCGGGTTGAGGCCTGAGCAAAGAGGTCCCTAAACCCTATAAGCCCTATAAGCCTTAGCCCGAAGCCCTATGTGTCCGAATACCCCACTAAGCAAGTCCTTATGAGCTTCAGAGCGCCACGAATACAAACAAAGCCCCGGGGGCTAGCACCCCAGCGCCCCCAGCCTTGAGACTGAGAGCCCGGAAGCAAGCCCCCTAACACCCTGAACCCTGAACCCTAAACCCAAAACCGCAGGGCCAGACATCCTGAAAACAATCTGAGCTCTCCTCGTCGGGTTCCGTGCTTGGGGTTCAGGGTTTAGGTTTTTAGGGTTTGGGGTTTATGGTTTAGGGTTTGAGGTGATCCATCTCGGGTCACGACCTTGTTAAAGGACCATTGCTGGTCCCCAAAAGGCGGGTAACCTCCCGGGGCTGTGCAAGAAGGGCAAGCAAGTACCCAACCCTAAACCCTAAACCCTAAACCCTAAGCATTCTCGAAGCGTTTCGGGTAGGTAGAGAACTTTAATGAATTTTACATGCAGTGAAACATGAGTTTGACAACGTTAGAGGGCGATTTAGGGTTTAGGGTTTTGTGGGTTCAGGGGTCAAGCTTTTGGGTTTAAGGTTTAGGGTCTATTGCTCCCGAAGTCCCGCGACAAAAGACGCGGGACCGTGGGGTACGTCTGCCACTTGGAGTTTCATGGTACTTATGAACCAATTAAAGCTGTACTTATATAACCTAAGTATAAGCCCTGCCCTAGCATGGTTATAAGTACAGCTATGTGTACAGTTTTATTTGTTAATAAGTACCAGGAACCTCCAAGCAAGGGCCCTCTCCATGATTGTGCACACAGTGCGACAGTCGGGGGTCCCAAGCATCGGCACTCGCACTCGCGAGCTTGAGAATCTCAGTCTTGGCGAGGCAGGCTGCGTCAATCGGCCATCCGTCGTCAGCATGCCAACGCACGGCAAACCCTAAACCCTAAACCCTAAACCCTAAACCCTAAACCCTACACCCTAAACCCTAAACCCTAAACCCTAAACCCGCGAAAAACGTCTTACGCGAGACCCGTCCATTGCCAGGCCTTGGGGAGCGTCTCTGAGGGCGCCTTGCTCGCAGCCTCGCTGGCTTCGGGATCTTTGAGGTTTGAGGTCAATGCCAGGGCTTAGGATTTAGGGTTTAGGGTTTAGGGTTCAGGGTTCAGGGTTTAGGGTTCAGGGTTCAGGGTTTAGGGTTTAGGGTTTAGGGTTTAGGGTTTAGGGTTTAGGGTTTAGGGTTTAGGGTTTTAGTTTTTTTTTGCCTAAGCTCCTCTCTTTAAGCCGAGGTACACTGAGTCCTGCTTTACGGAAGGCTCGAAGCCCCGAAAGCAAGGAAGTGTTTAAGGTTTAGGGTCGGGAAATATAATCTGGGATTACTTGGAGGTTCAGGGTACTTAGTAACCAGCTACAAACTGTGCCTTAAAACGGTACTTCAGGCGCTTATAAGTGGGTTGTAAGTACAGCTATAATTTTGGTTAACAAGTGCCATGGACCTCGAAGTAAAGGGCACTCAACAGGGGTTTAGGCTTTAGGGTGAGGGTGAGGGGTACCTTCTTGGGGTCTTGCTTATAGGGGGATCCTACTATTTGGGGGTCCCTTACTTTCGTAAACCCCCATTTAGGGAAGGCAAGTGAGAGGAAGACAATCTGAACCCTGCCTAGAGTTCTGCACGCACCCCGCAGATGAATAGCCTCATGATTTCGGCCTCGTGTTCGGCGTCAGGTGTCGTTGTGGAAACGCACAAGGCCCCCAAACCCAAAACCCCAAGCCCCTGGCAGCTCTTCTGTGGCTGCATGGTCTTCTTTTGGCAGCTCGCAAAGCCCCATGAGCTGTTTGACATGGGGTTTAGAGCTGGGGTTTAGGTCAGGGAGGGCGCGTTCTAGCTTCTATCCAGGCTTTTTTGGCATCAGTATTGTTGCTTTCTTTTAGTTTTATTCATTTTTTCATATTTTTTTTTTCTTTGGGGGGGGGGGGGGGGTGGTGGGGGGGGGGGGGTGGGGGGGTGGGGGGGCGGCGGGGTGGGGGGGGGGGTGGGGGGGGGGGGTGGGGGGGGGGGTGGGGGGGGGGGGGGGGGGGGGGTGGGGGGTGGGGGGGGGTTGGGGGGGGGGGGGGGGAAGTAAATATTCGATCGACATCCTAAACGAACCCCCACCCCAGCTGCCAGAACAAAGGCGGTGGATCACCGGCAAGCACTCCGAGCCCACGGCATCACTCGTCGCAGAAGCCTCAGACAACGTAGGGGTTGCGGGGAAGCCCTAAACTCGAAGCTCGAAAGCTCAAAAGGGGATGTCGTCGGGCTTCAGCAAGGCATGGGCACACTCTCAGGGCAGGTAGTGTGGGCCCTTAAAAGCGGATCCTTATGTACCCCTCATATACCCTTTTCAACCCAAGGGCTCATACTTCAGAACCCTTTCAAGGAGGTAAGGGACCATATTAAGGGCCCATATAACTACCCTAAACCCTAGACCGTACGGCGTCAACCACAGGGTTCCCATAACACACCCCGCTATTATGATAGACGGAATCTTGCTTGCCCCGAAGCCTAAAACCTGAAGGTTCAGGTATCTAGGGCTTCAAGGGTTCAGAAACCCTAAACCCTACACCCTAAACCCCTAAACCCTAAACCGTAGTGGTTTCGGGTTTAAGGAGGGGCCCTTGGCAAGACCTATCTGCAGCCCCCGAATCCCCCCCCCCCACTAAAAGCGGAAAGGTTTTGCGTGTTGGGCTTGGGGTTTAGGGATTGGGGTTTAGAATTTTGGATTTGGGGGTTAAAGTTTGGGGTTTAGGGTTTTTGGATTTAGGGTCTGAATTTCAGGCTTCACCTTAACAACGATATCTTTGGGGATCTTCAAAGGTTCGGAAGTCAAGCCTAAAACTTGAACCTTCCTAAACCGCAAGTCCATAAACCTGCAACCCAAAAACACTACCCCCCAGCAAACACCCAGACTAGCAAAACCCTAAACCCAAGCCGCTGCAAAGCTGAACATCTTACACCTCAAACCCCTACACCCTGCAAACCCGACCCTAAAACGCCAGGCCCTAGGAACCCTAGGAACCCTAGGAACCCTAGGAACCCTAGGAGCCCTACGAACCCTAGGAACCCTAGGAACCCTAGGAACCCTATTAACCCTAAAAACCCTAGGAACCCTAGGAACCCTAGGAACCCCAGGAACCCTAGAAACCCTAGAAACCCTAGAAAATGCAGGAACCCTAGAAAAATCTAGGAACCCTAGAACCCTACAAACCCTACAGGAACCCTAGGAACCCTAGGAACCCTAAGAACCCTGGGAACCCTAATGAACCCTAAGCCCTAAACCGTAAACCCTAAACCCCAAACCCAAAAACCTAAACCCTGAACCGTCAACCCTATGAACCCTATGAACCCTGCAGGCCACTGAGGCATCGGCTAAGGACGTTGTGCTCTGGGTGCCCCTTGGAAGGGCGTTAGGTTTAGGGTTTAGGGTTTTTAGGGTTTTGGGTCTTAGGGTTTAGGGCTTTTGGGGTTTTGGGTCTTAGGGTTTAGGGTTTAGGGTTTAGAATTAGGGTTCAGGGTTTTAGGGTTTTGGGCAATCGGGTTTGGGGTTTAGGATTTTGGGGTTTGGGCGGTGTTTGCTGCAGACCGCGTTGAGGGTGCAGGGCTTTGGGGGGTTGAGGTCTCTGGGTGCAGGGGTTTTGGGGGTTGAGGTCTCTCTTGGGGGGCTGCCTTATGCTGACGGGTTTATGGAAAAAGCTGGAGCACACTCTGAGTCGACGTAGAGGCTAATTGTGACGGGCTTGCAAATTTTTATATGGCTGCTTGGGAAAACAGGTCCTAATCGCTAAACACTAACTGAGGTGCCAAGCACCATGGCTCACCGTTTTTTTTGGGGGGGGAGGGGGGGTAGGAGTTCTGGCTCAGAGGGTGGCTGGGAGTCGGGGTCAAATTGGGTTTTGCAACCCTAGACACAGAGCCCTGAAACTTGTAAACCTCGCAAGTGCCATCGCTGACGTGTCAGTAGCTCTCCTGCCCCGGCGCTCCTTGTGTTGCCGCGGTTTGTAACATCGTGATGTAGGCGACCTGGGTACCACCCGCCGCGCCTATTGTTGCAAGGCGCCGTAGGGCCGATCCTGCAACGTCTGCGACGCGGGCCGCCTGTGTCGCCAAACCGGCGGCCCCAAAATTGCCCCAGGTGGCGCCCGCCGGGGCTAGCACGATCAGTTGGAGCTCAGCGGACCCATCAACGTCGACAGCCATCCATGTCGACGGTGGGGGCACCGGCGGCAACAAATCGTATGTTGCCAAGGCGCCGCACAAGGGCAGCAAAATCGCCACGAGTGACTTGCAGGTGGACCCTGAACCCTCAACTGACCCTATAATCCTTACAACTTTCTATGCCCTCCCCTGTGACAAATATTGACAAATCGAACACCCAATCCACAATCCTATGTAACCCTACATGACCCTTTTTTAACGCTAAACCCTAAACCCTAAACCCCAAAGAAACCCTTCCCTCGCCTCTGCCTGGCCAACGCTTGGGGCGCCTCTGTTCGCCGGATTTGGCGCTGGAGCCACTGGCCGGGAGCTTCGTTGGGGGGTCTGCGAGGGGGTTGGGGTTTAGGGCTATAGGGTTAGGTGTGTAGGGTTTGGGGGTTTAGGGTTTAAGGTTTAGGCTTTGGGGTTTGGGGTTTAGGGCTTTGGGGTTAGGCGTTAGGGGTTTTGAGGGCTTAGGGTTCACGGTTGAGGGGGTAACGTTGTGCGACACGCCCTTTTTCAACTTGTCCCCTGCACTCCCCCGCCCCCCGCCAACTGCCTTAATGAGGGTGTTGGGGGCCTCTTTTATAAGTTGCTTGGGGGGTCTATCCAGAGAGCCCAAAAACCTTTAACTATGGACGGCTCCTCACTCTTTGTTGCTCTGCAATTACATGATTTCCCATGTCGGCTGCGTGTGCTCTGCGAGCACAGGAGGCAAATGGGCAGCTGCTCATGCACATGAAAAGGAGCTGATGGCACTGCACGATGCCTTGAAACACTGCTCCGATCCATTCGGGAGGGCGGGAGGGCCCAAAATCTTACAGCAACAATCAATCGTTCACAATCCATAAGAGCGCATGGGTGGCTCCTCACTCTTTGTTGCTCTGCAATTACATGATTTCCCATGTCGGCTGCGTGTGCTCTTCGAGCACAGGAGGCAAATGGGCAGCTGCTCATGCACATGAAAAGGAGCTGATGGCACTGCACGATGCCTTGAAACACTGCTCCGATCCATTCCACTCCTGTTACGTGAGCGGACGCAACTGGCGGCCGAAGAAAACTCAACCTTGGAGGTAAAGTTGCAGCGCGAAGTCTGAGAGACCGGCAAGGGCTATAACTTTGGATTTTTGACTCTCTGTCAGATCTGTCAAAAGGATTTGCCCTGCCACGTCCTGCAGGTAATATTCCAGGTTCTTGCGGGCTTGCCAACGGCCTCTCCACTGAATCTTGTCGACGTCTTCGGTGCGCTGGTAGAGCCAAGTGGCTCCAGAGCCCCGCAGGCTCTTGGGGGTAATGCCCTTGGCAGCTTCAGTCACCGGGACGTTGAGAAAAGTAAAAACCTCATCCCATCTACGGCGATGGATTGCAGCCGAACAGTTGAACAGCAAGGCTCGATAAGGAAGATGCCCGAAGAGGTGATCGAGGAACTTGACAGTGCCCAGGTCAGAGATGCGAGCATGTTGTCGACGCATGAAGCGCTTGGTCTTTGTATTCAAGAGGCGGACGAACACCAGCGGGATATCCGTCAAAAGATCCCTAGGCAGCACCAAGTCGATGCGGCGCAGGTGTAAAAACTCAGCTGGCCTCAACAGGCCGTGAAAGCCGAGCAGTAAGGTTGCCCCAAACAGTGGCCACCCCCATGCGATCGCAACACTGAAAGCAGCGCGGAGCAGTGCCTCAGGCATGACCATTGAAGGCTCTGAAGGCTCCTCATCCGCCCAACGGCTCATGATTCCCCACGCAGGGGCCAGTGCAGTTTTGACATGTCGGTAACGATCCACCACCGCATTGATGGTTTCGGAAAACATGTACTTAGGGAATCCTTCATAAAACAAGTGCTTACCAAAAGCGACTAACGCAGTACCAAGCAGCAACCCTGTGCAAGCCAGTTGATGGAATTCACATCCCAGCTCAGCGGTCACCCATGCTGTGAACATCAAGAAAAATCTCTCTCGCCTCGAGCGAACCACTCCAGTGAGACCTGACGCAAAGTCAAGCTGTACGTTTTGCCGCTTCTCGTCTTTGGACTTGCGAGGTCTCGGCATGAGAGGTTGCTTTGTACTGAAGTAAAAACAGCTAGCCTGGCCCACCGATCAAGGCGGGGCCCGCAATCGTCGCACAACTTCACGAGGTCCAGGATTTTCTGGTCGCCTGCGAGGAGCCTCGATAACCTTATAAGGGGTCACCGAAGAGGGCTTGCGCAATGGTCGCAGGCGTGATGGATCATCAGCAACATTGTCGGGGGAGCTGACGTGCAGCAAGCTGGGGTACAGGTCACACCCGATAATGTAGGGGACTGCCGTGGATAGGTAGAAGTTCAACTTTTGACTGCTGGATCTGCCCTTTGCGTTGCAACCAATGGTGACCCTGCTATCTAAAAGGACCCCAAACCTCGAACCGGGCTCGACTTTCGCAACATGTTTGAGAAGGCTCCGGTATGCCAGCTCTTCGTTCACATTGTTGTGGTTCAAACGCTTGTACTTGTACTGTTTCAAAGTCCTCCAACCCAAGCATAACCCGATATCCGCAACCCAGCGAGGAGGTACGTGAGAACGTCGACGGGTGTTTGGGGCACGTTGTTTGAGGGATACAATACATGGAGCAATCAAGCGGCACCACAACTTCATGGCCGGTAAAGGATAGGTCCCCGAAAACTTGCAAAGTTGTTCGCCAACGAAGGGTAAACGGCCAAAGACACTAAAGCAGTCTGGCTGGCAGCGATCGAGGAATACTTTTCGGCTCTCGGCGGTGAAGCGTCGTTCCAACCTCAAGCGTTGACCCTTCCAAGCGCAAGTGCAGCCGCCCTGGATGCCGGCCATCTCAGCCCTGTTGCCCAACCCGTGCGAAACTTTTTTGTAGGGGGTGCCAAATGAGCAAAAGCAGTACTTGATGCTGATGAACCCGAGCTTGAACAACCTCTGGAAACAATCAAGACGGTACATGACAGAACCTAAAGGCTGCTCGGCTGAGGCCAGCAATCCATAACTGGCACATAAGGCCAAAATCATGGCCGCTCTGAAAGCCAGCAAGTTTCCGACACAGGTGTCGGGATCGGCTGGACGGAACCCAAAAGGTTGAACTTTGCTTCTCAGTCTGGGACGACGCATAGTTCCAAAAGATACGCATAGAGGAGCCACATGAAAGTACGCAACCACTCTGCGACATATAAGCCCTATAATATGAAGCATGGTGGAACTGAGCAGCACATCACCACGAGCTCCGGCTTTCAAATCGAAGCCTGGGTGAGCCACGAACCCTGCCTCTTGGAACGTGCGTGAAAGATTGCCTTCTCCTTTGAACACTTCACAAACATCGAAGAGAATTCCCTCAGCGAGGTTCGCGGGCACGGCTCCCAGAGCACCCGGTTCGGCTGGGTCTTCGTCGGGGAAACTGTCAAGGTACGAGGCCAACTGAGGACTTAGGTGGGTGTAAAACCCCCGGTGATCTGCATGACGAATCAGCTCTAAGGTGGTTCCTCTTCCGACCTCGGCTTCACAGACTCCTGCCGCATACGGTGAGGCATCTGAGACGAAGAGCCGGCTGAGAGGCTTCGCTCTCAAATTCGTACAGCTGCAAGGCGCGAAGAGGATCAACAGCAGAAGCTCTTGGCGGGTGTCATGTGAAAGCTGGAACACTTGCCCTGCACCGTGCCTAGAGATGTCGTGGAATACTTGTCCCAAGAGGCTCATAAGAGGGCGCCGAAACATTAGAACAAATATCCAAGAACCAACGATGCTTTGTAAGACGATCAGCTCGAAGGTCAGCGCGCAAAGCTCCGCAGTCTTCAAACGGGGAGCGGCGATGTCGCCCCGGATCCCGTCTATCTGCCCTCCTAAGACTGTGGACTGGTAGCTGTTCCGAACAGCCTTCTTTTCTGATGCCCTCAATCCAGCTTCAGCATACTTCAGGTTGGCCCGCCTAAACATCTGTAAGTCTTCACGCTGGGGATCCGGAACCTTCCCTGCGATGCTACGTGGTACTCGCAACAGAAAAGCGTGATCATCTATGCAAAGCAGTTCGTAGCCGGGACCTCGGGGTAGCGGATGTCTGTAAGCTACTTGTTGCCGAGGGTCAAGGCAGTGGGCCCTGCGAAGCAAAATACTGTGCGCATGCTGAGCTGTTTCTACAGCAAAGTTCGTGCCCATCGCTATAGGGTTCTGAAGCATCCCACCACCGGCACTGAATCAAGCTCGGGCTTGTAAGCTCGCCAGCCGCGAAACAGAGAACCTGGAAAAACGCCGTGTATGTGGTTTCGCGAGGCGTGGGCATCCGTCACGTAAAAATTGTGATAGAAATCTTTCAAATCATCGGACCCAATTACCAGGTTCTCTTCTGCGGGAAGATACAGCTGACAAAGCAAGCATGCGTGAGCTAAAGACAGAGTCGAATCTGCAACTGAAAAACTCCTGGAGTTCTCGGGAATGGGATTGAGAATCTGCCGGTCGACCTTGTCATCCTTGTAGACTGCAAACAAACCGCAGCGATAGCGAAACTCGGAAGCTGAAGCTGGCAGCAGGAATAAAGAGTCAACGGCGTCCCACTTTCTATAAAGTTCCAACTGGTGCTCTTTCGTGGCCTGAACCCTGGCCAGCCTAGGCTTACCGACCAAGAACGGGCCGGCTTGAAATCGAGGCTTGGCTTCAAACACCAGGCGCTCCGGCTGTATCTGCAGGCTGGCGGGCTTAGCCACCGCGATCTTGGGGGGGGATTCCGGGGCAGCAGCGCGCAAAGGTTCAGGGCAGCGTTCTTCAGGTTCAGATTGCGAAGTGGCATCATGACTCTTCTGCCGGGGGCAGTAAGGCTGGAACTGTGTGTGAAGCTGTTGGCTGTGATGCAAGAGACTCTCTAGCTGTTCTTCGACACTGCTAAACTTCTGCACCGATCTGCCAAGATCGCGTCTGGGGCCGGTCCCCAGGCGAAACCAAATTGTGACCTGCGATTCTAGACGGGAGATCATTGATTCCTGCGCCACAGAATTGGGCGGCAAGTCAGCGGGATGCACCTCAGGTCGCCCGAGCACCAGCCAATTGCCCGCTGCCACAAGGTGGCGGGTCCACAGCCGGGCGAGGTTCCGAAGATGCCACCGCGCCTTGCGCCGGCCCGACAACCTCGAGCGAGGCTTAGGTTGAGGGGGAGGGATTCGGCAAGGCCACAATTCGGGAGAGGATTGCGAGGCAGTCCCCACAACTGGTAGAGCGCATGCATCGAGAATGAAATTTGAAAGCTTGGTGCGCACTCCTGCCAAAAACTTCACAATGCACAAGCAGACATTTGAAGCAGCAACGGTGTCATCCAAGCCTCGTGGAAAAAGGGCCTCAAAGTCCCGAAGCCGGCCGCTCATGCCGCGGGCTCGACTCCCTCCTTCTGGCCTCTGCCTCGCCGTCCGCGCCCCTTGCCACCGCTGGTCTCCTCCTCGTGCTGCACATGGGGCTTGGAAAGGTGGGCCTTGTTGGTTCGCTCCTGGATCATGTCCACGTCGCGCAAGTAGGCCAGCTGGGTCGCCACCCACCTGGGGTCTGAGAGCATCCCGTGGGGGACCTCGGACCTCGGAGCGCGCCTCTGCTCCACCTGCGCAGTTCAACCAGGCGAGTCTTGTATGTCCTTGCTCGTTGGCCACTTGCTCGCAGAAGACCAGGCCTAAGGACACCAGCGCCGTGACCTGCTCCACGTGACCGCTTTCGAGGGCTTCCCACGCATCGCAGAGCAGGAAGGCCAGATAGGTCAGCGTTTTGTAGTTTCCCAGCGGCACGGTCTCCTGGAAGCGGTAGAACATGTCTCTCGGCTCCAACGCTGTCACACTGGGCTTCCTGCGGGCCTGGGCAAGCCGCTCGCGGACCCGCTTGTAAACATTGCCAGGATGTTTCTGGAACTGCTCCCGCAGCAGCTGGCGAGCAGCCATCCCCTTCACGCCGGTCAGCTTGGAGTCTTCCTCGCTTCCGGCGCTGCCGCTGAGCAAAGAGAGGGGATCCTGAGCCTTGCTGGAATTCGCAGCTAGCTGTGTCAAGATCTGGGTCTGCTGGGCGAGAAGATTCTCGAGGAAGTTGGTGGCACCGGTCGCGACGTCCGCGGTGTCCACGTGCTCTTCGGCGCCCTCCACGGCATCCTCGAGGTTGACCCCACCCCAAGCAGCAGGGGCGGCTTTGGCCTTGGCGGTCTGCGGCAGCAACTTCACCACAGGGTTCGCACTCGGACCTGGCAGGTCGCTCAGAGTCTTGGGGCCACAGTCTTGGGGCCACGACCGGCAAGACCCAGGAGTTGGCTCAGCTGAGTCTGGGAGATCTTGGCTTGCTGACCTTCGGCGAAAAGCTGCGGGGCCCATGCCGGGAGTTGTGTGTCCGCATGTTCGGGTGCCGGCGCTGAAGCGGGGGCGCCTGCGGTTTCCAGCTGTAGCAAGCGGGCTTCGACCTGGTCGAGGGCGTCCAAGCGAGAGCGCAAGCCGTTGAGCGCCTGAGCCTCTGAGCGAAACTCTGGTCGAGCAACTGTTGCAAGACAGACTCTGCGCCGGAGCTGGGAGCAGCAGCGGCGACAGGTTCGGCCTCGACCTCGGAAGTGGCAGTGAAGTAGCCCTCCAGGCGATCGAGGGACTCGACGGGGAGGTCCGCGCCATTGATGAACTCCTCCAGAGCTTGCAGAGCAGCAGGAGCATGGATCCACGAAGTTTGCAGCCTGTACATGCCGAAAGGCAAGACATCGACAACGTCGGGCAGGACGTCGGTAAGCTTGGACATGGCTGAGGAGGAATGCATGTCCACGAGCAGACAAGGCCAGCTCTTGTTGATCTCTTTGCCGTTCTGGGTGATGGCTCTTAAGGAGACCTTGGTGAAAGGCCCCAAGAAACCAGGGTACTGGTCCGCCTTCGCCTGTTCCAGTTCGAGCTCGTCGATGGCCTCGGCGGGGAGGCAAAGCACGAACCCAGTCTCGACCGCCTTGACGATGAAAGCATGCGCGGTTCGGGAGCCATGTGTGAAGTAAAGCCGGGTGTATCCTCCTGCATCGGATGCTGTCCGCCATTCTCCCAAGGAGGGGCGGGGGGCTGAAGCCCCACTCATCATGGCCGCCGCTGAGGCAGGCCAAGTAGGCCGGCGAAGCCGCAAGACACTGACGTCTCGTCCCAGATGCCGTGGGGCTTGATGATGTCGAAGTAGTAGTCCGAGGCTGCGGTGAAGAAAGGGGCTTGCACTGCAGCTCCAGCAATGACCACGTAGACCAGGCGCCGACCTGGCAATGACAACGAGTTGAAGCAGCGCAGCTCTTCCTTTGCAACGCGGGCAGCGTCTCGTCCAGCAGCGTAAGCCTTGCGGATCCTTTCCACGGGGGTCGCACCGGCCAGGCTGAGAACTTCCCGCGGACACTCCTCAGGTTGAGCGGCTCCGGCCGTGGGGCGTGTGCCTGAAGAAAAGGTGGATGTTCCAGTGGAGGTGGCTCCTGTATGTGGCGGGGCCTCGTTCACCGAGATAGCGATGGAGATGTTGAGGTCTTTGAAGCACTCAGTGAGTTGGGCCACAACCTCGTCCGAGCTAGGCCCGGTGCTCGTGCACGGGCGCCCTGTAGCGCGCCAGCCGATCCAACACTGGCGGGTCGTGTAATTCGCGGATTACGACCCCCAAACAGTGCCAGAGAACGTTGCGCACTGATCTGCTGACCAGGAAGAGCACCACCAAACAGCCACTGCAGAATCCAGCTAGCCAGCACAGCAGGCCCAGAAGAATCCAGTCGGAGAAATTGCGGGGACTGCACCCTAAGGAGGCTAGCACAAAGCCCCAGGGGTCGAGTCGCTCGAACATTCGAACCCAAAATCTTACAGCAACAATCAATCGTTCACAATCCATAAGAGCGCAGGGAACATGCCTGAAACCATATTAAGGGCCACACATATAGTTTAAGGAATATTCCCCGAAAACCCTCAAGTCCTAAACCCCAAACCCAAAACCCCAAACCCCAAACCATAGGCCGCCCGCACCAGGCGGCGGCCGGTACAACTGAACGCTACCGCTTCGAGATCTGCTTGCTTGCCAAGCAGATCGAGCATGCCACACCTGATGCATCCCTGCTAGCCGTCGGGCACAATGTCATAATGGATTAACCCTAAACCCCCGACGCGCGACCCCGGCGGGGGAGGTCGGGCCTAAGAAGCCGTTGCGCCCCTGCCAGGCTTGCCCCCGCCCGGGTTGCCCCCACCAGGGTTGCCCCCGCCAGGGTTGGTCCCGCCAGGGTTGCCCCCGCCAGGGTTGCCCCCGCCATGCCCCGCCACGCCAGGGTTGCCCCCGCCAGGGTTGCCTCGCCAGGGTTGCCCCCGCCAGGGTTGCCCCCGCCAGGGTTGCCCCCGCCAGGGTTGCCCCCACCAGGCTTGCCGCCCCCACCAGGGTTGCCCCCGCCAGGGTTGCCCCCGCCAAGGTTGCCCCCGCCAAGGTTGCCCCCGCCAGGGTTGCCCCCGTCAGGGCGCCAGGGTTGCCCCCGCCAGGGTTGCCCCCGCCAGGGTTGCCCCCGCCGGGGTTGCCCCCGCCAGGGTTGCCCCCGCCATTTTTCATATTTTTAAGCTACATTTTCTATCTTCTAATATTCCTTAAGGAGTCCCACTAATAATAAAATAGCATTTTTCCTTTCATTATTAGTAAAGGTGTCTATCTATATCTTCTTCAAATTCATTTCGGCTTCTCTTCTTTCTCACATCCAGATAATGCATTAGAAGCATGTGGATTACTTACTCCTTTACATATCGTACCTGAATGGTATTTCTTCTGCCAATATGCTATCTTATTTACTTCTATCTTCATCCTATTTTACTTTATGAGAAGTCTTTCAATGTCATTCTATTTTTAAAGTAAGACGTCCAGTAGATTTAATGGTTTCTCTCGCAACCCCGCCGGGTTGCCCAGTTTTACCCCTGCCAGGGTTGCCCCCACCAGGGCTGGCCCCCACCAGCGTTGCCCCCGCCAGGGTTGCCGCCGAGTTAGGGTTGCCCTTGGCAGGGTTCCGCCAGGGTTGACCCCGCCAGGGTGACATTGCCCTCGCCAGGTTGCCCTGTCAGGGTTCCACGCCTCCTCACGTCGCCTACTCAGGAATTGCGCACCTTCTCTGCGACGGCCTCGTCCTCCTCGCGCGCTGGCGAGGCTTCGTCGTCCTTCTCTATGAAGTGTTGTTTTGTTGCCGAGCAGGGCTTCTTGTGCCATATGGGCCCCAGATGCGGGAAGGGCCCTTGCCCGTGCCGGGGTTGCCCCCGCCAGCGGGGTTGCCCCCGCCAGGGCTGCCCTTGCGTTGCCCTTGCTATTGCCAGGGTTGCCCCCGCCACGCCCCGCCAGGGTCGCCGCCCGCCACAGTTGCCCCCGCATGGGAGGTCCTGTCAACAACGACCAAGCTGGGCCAGAGAAGCCCTTGCGCCAGCGGGTGGCCGGGCCTTCCGCGCTTGGCCCTCGCCATTCTGCCATATGAATGAGCTTGGGTCCGGAGTTGGGCTTGAGGGTGTCTTAAACACAGTATGGGTGAAACAGATTGTCCCGCTCCCTGTGAATACTTGGAGCAAAATTCCTTTCACTACTTCCTGGGACCTTCCAACAGGCTGCTAGGAATTGATCGCAAGCATCTTGCTTTTCACTCTCAATGTTTCCCACAAATCTCCCAACAAGGTTACCGGATATTGCTCGCTTTCCAATTAAGCACATAAGGTCTTATATGATACTTGTCAAAGCAATTGGGCATCACATCCTTACTGCAGAAAGTATACGAAACCTAGGGGAAAGGGGGTGGGGGGTGGTTGAAACAGGGTTTATTTGGAAGCTGATGCTCGGGCTTTTTCTTGTGAGGGGCAGGTCCCTCCAGGGGACGCTGCCTTCATCTCATTCCACATTCCCGTGCCACTTCAAAAGAATAGTGAGGAGAAAGAGAGACAGGGTGAGGGGGGAGAGAAGAGGGAGGGACAAGAACAAGTTAGGAAGAACATGTAGATTCCTGTTCTCTCTTCTTTGTTTCTCTTTCTCTTCAACAAAAAAGAAAACTGATATGGACTTCAGAAGGGGAAAGTGTATAGGCTCAAGCAACAGCAGCAGTCAACACGTCCCACCCCGGCCAACGGGGAGACTCGAGGTGTAAGCCCCCTTGATAGGGGGGCTGTGGAGGGTAGACCGCTCTAAACCCGAAAAAGGCGGTAGTTTGGGTGGCTGGGGTGGGATCCGCTGCACCGAGGTGGCCCGACCTGCCCCTGGCGCGGGTCGGGACCGCGGCAAACCCTAAACCCTAAACCCCAAACCCAAAACCCCAAACCCTCTTCGAGGAGCTGTATCCTCAACCCGGATCCCTAAGCCACATGCATCCTGATCCCTTCGTGCAAGGCGTACGGCTCCATATACGGCTGACGACTACGACTTCACACGGTTTAGGGTTCGGGGTTTAGGAACTTGGGGTTTAGGGTTTAGGGCTTAGGGTTCGGGGTTCAGGAGTTCGGGGTTTAACCTTTAGGGCTCCGCAGCCGGCACGAGGTATGCAAAGGCATCTTCAAAGCCAAGGTGTAAGCCATGACGAAAGCTCGCGCACCGACGCACCCACACACGCCAAACTCTCTCTCTCTCTCTCTCTCTCTCTCTCTCTCCAAACACCCAAAACACCCCAACCACCCCAAACACCCCAATCATCTTAATCACCCTAAACACTCTAAGCACCCAAAAACCCCAAACTCCGAACCCGATTCCGAAACAAGGCTCGAAACCCTAAACCCCAAACCCTAAACCCTAAACCCCAAACCCTAAACCCTAAGCCCTAAGACCCAAAACCCTACATCAAGCCTTCGGCAGCGCTGGCACGGAGGAGATACGCCTTTCTTGAGGGGAAGGGGATGGAGGTTCATAGTACTTATTAAACCAATTTTAACTGTACATATAACCCACTTATAAGCCCCTTAAGTGCCCTGATATGGTTATAAGTACAGATATAAGTACAATTATACTTGGCTAATCAGTACCATGGACCTCCAAGTCGAGCTTAGGGCTTGCGGTCTAGGGTATCACCCTCTCTCTCTCTCTCTCTATATATGTATATACCCTAAACCCCAAACCCTATATGTATATATGTGTACATCATGGAGAGAGAGGGTATAGGGTGTTGGGTTTAGGGGCTTCGGGTATCACCCTCTGCATTCTCACCTTTCAGGGGACATGTATAAGGTACGAGCTCTTAAATGCGGGATGAGGGAATTAGGTATTATATCAAGCCACAGAAATTTCCCTGAACCCTAAACCTCGTAAGGGCTTCTACAAGGCTCCAAACCTTCCCAAATTCCTTACCAAGAGCCAGTGAAGACAAGCTCTTTTGCTTCCTGGGGCTTGGGTGTTCACCATTGATGGTTTAGAGTTTCGGGTTTCGGGTTTAGGTTCATGTTTCGAGGTTTGGGACGACATCGCTCACTGATGACCTTCAGCCAGTCAGACGTACCCATCCAAAGACTACATAACTTAGAGGCCTGCTTGATCCTTTTGGTGCCCAAAGCTAGAGGGAGTATACCACCCACAGAGACCCTGCTTGGGGGGGGCTTAGGCTTTGAAGAGGCTCGCCATGTCGATCAACCCCACTCAAACCCTAAACCCGCAACCCAAGGCCACCACAAGCAAGCGCGGAGTTCGAGGGGCAGCCCGTTTTTTGGAACCAATGCCCAGCGTCGGAGTCCCCAAGATTGATCCCTTCCTACACACCCATGTTTTTGAAGAAACCCTAACCAAGTAATATCATTAAAGATAAAGATAATAATAACTACATCAATAGTAATAAAGATAATAATAAAGATAATGTCGTCATGCATTGAAGATTTAGTGTATGTTTGCTGTATCCGAAACCCTGAACCCCAAATCTAAGGGTAGCTACATGGTCCCTAAAACCAAACCGACACAAGGGACGCCTAACCTATTTGGAGGTTCATGGTACTCATTGACCAATTATAGCTGTACTTCATCTGTACTTATAACCATATTAGGGCACTTGAGGGGCTTATAAGTGGGTTAAAAGTACAGTTATATCGGTTAATAAGTACCATGAACCTCCAAGAAGCCCCCTGAGTTGGCTGGAAGACAACGCCTTGGAGGTACTGCGGCCACGGGGTGTTGGCATCAAACTTTCTCTGTGCTAAACGGGCTTATGATGTAGAGCTTAGGGTTTAGGGTTTAGGGCTTAGGGTTTAGGGTTTAGGGTTTAGGGTTTAGGGGTTAGGGTTTAGGGTTTGGGGTTTGGGGTTTAGGGTTTAGGGTTTGGGGTTTAGGGTTTAGGGTTTAGGGTTTAGGGTTAAACACCTGCAACCCTCGATCCCCAAGCAAACGAACGTATCTGACTTCGCAAGAACGCCCCCGCACTTCGACACCTCTGGCGTTGAACCTTCAAAATGCAGGTTAACCAGCCGACTCTGACTTAAGAGGGTTCCTCCCTCGGCCGACTTCGGCTTCTCTTGAACTTGCTTAACATTAAGCCTTGGATGTAAAGAGTTCATGTATCTGCACTAGGCATGCACAAACTTCGGGAAAGGAGAGCGTGGACGCACTTGTGCGAGAATGCTGTCTTATACCCCTGCCATTGCCCGACACATCGGGTCGTGCCTATGCAAAGTAAGGGTTATGAGGGTCCCATGATCAACTGGAGGCCCGCCCGCCACTCGCCTCACCTCGAACTGTGCAAACCGTGCTAGAGGGATGTCTTCACCCCTCGTGAGATGCTAACAAGCCAACCCGCCGTTGAGCGAGTTACTGTTGGTAGTCAAGGCTTGGAGGAGGTACACTATGACTGTCGATTGCGCAATGGGCTTGGCCTGGGC